TCGGTAAGTCAACAAATCTAACTGTTAAATAAACAAGCTTAGCCTATGTCTGCGATTGTTTGTCTGAGTGGCCAGATGTTATCCGTTTCGGATAATAAATTTCTGAGAATACTACTGATATCTAGAATACATCTTTCGTGATATTTTTCATAAAACTACCCTTTGCATTCGTTCGACTTCACTTCTTAAAAGAGAGCTTCGTCTTAGTGTATACGTAGTTTAACTAGACTCTGCACGCAGGGTATCATAAAACAGGCATCTTAGCTGCAATTTTGAATAATTGCGTAATTCATAGTACAATATAAATTAACCCGCCTCTGTTTAATTCAAATATGCATTACCCTTAAGATTTATATACTTAGACACCTTTTCATTCTTGATTCGGATTTTTATCTTGTCTTCATCTAAATCTGTGGATTAATAACAGTTTTTAGTATACAAATTGAACATACAAAATGTAGCGTATTGATTACACGTTACAGTGGCGTAGCCAGCTTTCAGTCGGGGGGGGGGTGCGATCGTGGCATTAAAAATGTTTTTGAAGATTTGTTTTGAATTTTACAAAAATTGGTGCAACTTCGTTCAAAATCGAGCTAGAAGCTTCAAAAAAAGCATTTTAAGACTTTTCTCTTCTTTCTAATGGTTCTATTTTCATTGGTTATGGAGGGGGGGGGTGCGATCGCATCCCATCGCATCCCCCTGGCTACGCCTATGCGCTATATTAATATAACAAGGTTATCAATATCATGCCAATAGTTACCCTGCGTGCAGAGTCTACATGTAGTTAAACTACAAGACGAAGACGAAGCTCTATTTTAAGAAGTGAAGTCAAACGAATGCAAAGGGTAGCCAATAGTTAGATGGTTAACTAATATTAACACAAAATAATAATACACGATAATCAAAAAAATAAACCTCGGTATTCGGGCCTAAAATCCAAGGATACGTGTACCATTACTTAAGTGTAAGCTGCAATACCATATCGGATACCTGTACCATTACTCAATAATAACCACTAGTAAGACCATAATAACAAGCTTAATAACCATCTTATTGCAATTTATTCCATACGATTTTGTCTTGTGTTGTTTGATTCATTTGTAGAAAAGTTACTGTTGTAATTAAACACTCCCCTCCATAAGTTTGGCAACCTTTTTCCCCCATTGAACTACGTGTTAAAGCCTCTTTACGTTTGAATTTGTATTTACTTAACCGGCGATGAAATAACTTATATTATCCCACGATTAATGTGTTATCTGTACAATAACAGCTATTGATATTTCTGATATTATTGAAATCCGTGTGATATTTTCCAGAAAATCGTTTATCAAACTCATATGCGTGTGATATCGTTTATCTCACGCATATCCGTGTGATATCATTTGCATTTCGCGCCACAATATTGTTGGAAATTAGATCAGATAATTTATTCTCTTTTGAGAAAATAGGTCCGTTAATTTATTCTCCTTAAGTTTCATTGGTGTATTGAATTACGATTGTGTATATAATTTGATTAGAAGGTTGCTGAATAACGATTAAAAATGGTATTTATGACGAACTATATCATGTACAGAAAGTAGTGCATATTACTGCGCAGTGAGTAAAGTACAAATCAAAATGGCCGGTGCAAATTCTAATTTCTAGATTTTTGTGTCTGCCAATGTCCTGGAAATTGGATCAGAACATCACAAGGTGATTGTAATCATGGGATAAACCCAATATCACATAATTTCTCGTGATATCATTTTATCGCCTCGTAGATATCATATACCAACACTCATTCGCTTCGCTCACTCGTGTTGATATTTGATATCAACTCGGCGATAAAAATGATATCACTCAAAATGATGTGACATTCTATATATATTAATGGAAACGTAACTTGACTTTATTTCCAATACCTCCAAATTTTCTGAATATTTTTCCTCAATTACAATAGGTCGAAAATTGATAATAAATTTGATGAATTTTTGAAAATCGTCATTCCCATGTAATCCAATGGGAAATGGAGAGTTCGGGGCAAATCAGAAATCAGGATATCTTTTCAGTAAAAGATTCAGCAAAAAATATTTTTATACAGAAAATTAAATTGTCTAACTTTTTTTAACACTATGTGTTTAGTTTATTTGATGAATATTAAAGTTACAGCGCTTCAAAGTCATTTTTGAAAATAATTTTTCGCCTCCTGTGTTATTTCAATGGGAGAGGTTTTTTGGAAAACAATTTTGACTTTAAAGCCCTATAACTTTGTTGAACCTGAAGAAACATATCAATTTTTGGTTTAATAAAGTTAGCAAATTCAATTGCCTGTCTAACTCGTATTTTTTGCAAGGACTCAGATGGATCGATATTCTGTCATATGACTTGCGGCAAACCTACTATTTCCCATTGGTTAACATGGGAATGTCGATTTTCAAAACTTCATCAAATTCATTATCAATTTTCGACCTATTGTAATTGAGGTATTGGAATTAAAGTCAAATTACGTTTCCATCAATAGTATAAGTATTTTCATCGCAGGTTAAGTAAATAAAAATTCAAAGGTAAAGAGGCTTTAACACGTAGTTCAATGGGGGAAAAAAGGTTGCCAAACTTATGGAGGGGAGTATATTTATTTATATATTTGTATAAAAAAAGTTTAGAACAAGAGAAAAAATGTTTTCTAAATTCAGAAAAAATATTGAGGCTTATTTGATTCACATTATAACATTAAAACATTGTTATACAGACGTTATACAGATGTTTTCCTAATATGCACCCATAATACTGAAAATAAACTTGGGTATGAGTTGTCTTTGGTTCCAGTTGTCTTGGATACGAGTTGACTAGGAAGCGATGAAAACACATTATCCTTCAAATCTGTGCGGTTTCGTTTTGTTTTATTTCAAACAAAAGATTTCTTGCCAGGAGCTGATTAGTCCCCAAGAGCAAATATCAAATAATAGAAACATTTTGAAATGAGTTATTATAAAAAGCATACATGTATGTATCATTTATAAACACAAGCATTTGAATGGGTATAGTATTTATTATCCATCATTTCGATTTCTTTTATATTAAAAATTATATTAAAACATATTATACGATTACAGTTTAGACAAACGTACGCTTAGTGTCTACAATTAGCCTTTAAAACATTCCGATGTGACTGCTATACTCAGGCCGTAGCCTGATGCTTTTGCTAAATTTCAATGGACATTTGTAACGCGCGTGCTAGTTCACGGGTACACCTTCATATACAGGTTGACCCAGAAAAAATTACCCTCTCATTTTGGTATAAACTCAAGTATGATTTCTTTAAAATTTATCTGCGTAGATAGACTGTTTAAACAAGTTTTAAAATGATCCAGTGATATTGTCCAAAAATGTTGAAAATGCAATTTTCTGAGATTTCTGTCTTAGCCATTATTTGAGCCATTGTCAAATATGATGAACTGACTGCTTAGGTAAATTCCAATGATTTAAGCATTTAACTCTCTTTCGACACAAAAAATCATGAAAAGTCCTTCAAAACGGAGATATAGTTATTCCCAAATTAAGAGGGTGACGTTTTTGGGGTCACCTGTACTGGGAATTGAATTTCAACTCAGCACTACAGTAGGTCTTCTTTGTTCTAAAGCATTGCAATTTGAAAAAGGTTTAATTTTAGCTTACGGAGTACAATATATATCGTGTTTTCAATTTGGTCGTTTGGGAATTTCAGCCTATGTTTCATTTTATTACATTACTAATTATCATCTGTCACTTCCATCGTCAAAGAGTATTCACGTAGCCATAAAGACTTTTTTGTGCGCCATGATTAAATAAATATTACTATACCTTCTTCGAAAATATTTGCTATTGATTATTCTTCAATTCAGTAACTAAATGTAAGTTCATAAGGTCATTATGAATGAACACTCCTCTATTATAAATGAAATACCAAATAAAATCTTTTGATTTGGAATCTTTTAGACAAATCATAATCTCAGTATAAAGTGTGGGAATTGCATGTTTCAGAATTTGACATATCTTTGTATAAACTCTAAAGTCTATCTCAATAAATTAGGAATGAGGATTTCTCCCTAAAGTAGCTTCTTTTAAAATAAAGATGCATATGTTCCTTAAAGATATGTTGGGATTTGCCCTTAAACTTAGCTCAATATATTGAACTCTTGATTTGGATTTCATTAAACAAATGTAATATTAAAATCATGATATTGCCTTCAGATTTGAGGATATCTATTCAGTAACAGATTCACCAAAAACTATTTTAACATAGAAAATCAAATTCAAAATCAAAATCTAACTTTTTCAAATTCAATTGTATTTTGCGAAAACAAATGGAAGTATCGGACAGTTTTTTCTTTACACTGTACATATTATACGAATAAGAATTCAAACATAAGGAGGAGGCTTAACCACTCCATGGGGGAGTTTACGGTTGACACACTTTTGGAAGGGGTGTAAATTGTATGTAAGAAAATTACAAAAATGGTTTTATGTGAGGAACCCCGATGAAGGTGGATATTTGTGGATAATATAAAAAATTGAACCCCTGGTCACAAAATCCTGGCTACGCCACTGATTAAGCTTTAATTGTTATTTTTCTTAGTGATACATGCATGTCTCGCATGACAAGAAATATAATTGTCTTGTTAAAATGTATATATCACTCGTTGAGATCACCCGCTTGTTCTTGTTTCGTTCGGTTCACATTTTAAGTCCCGGGTGTAAATGAAATGCTATGATGTGTTTTCAAAATTCAAATGAAAAACGTTTTAACCAACGTTTTAACTTAAGATTTTGATTTTCGAGTTAGGTTTTACATAGACAAAAATCCCATTCCTCGACCCGGGCTTTGTATAATACAATAAACGAAATTGAATGGCCTGTGGTTGTTCACTCCAATCATACATATTTGAGGCCTGTGATATATCAGTAAATGGCCTGTGATGTTTCACTGCTATCTTACACATTATTATTAGAAAAATAAGTTAATGTATAACTAAATTACGTACACGCATGCAGTGGCCTCTAAGTTACATTTGTTGGGATACGTGACCATATCGTCGCCACATACAGGTTGGTAATCCATGGGACACACCATATTACATCCATCTCCCATAGACCCACGCACATCTACACTACATGCTGAAATAAATAAAGTAATAATACCATGGGTACTGTGCTCACATATCATCCCCACATACAGGTTGGTAATCCATGGGACACACCATATTACATCCATCTCCCATAGACCCATGCACATCTACATTGCATGCTGAAATAAATAAAGTAATAATACCATGGGTACTGTGCTCACATATCATCCCTGCATACAGGTTGGTAATCCATGGGACACACCATATTACATCCATCTCCCATAGACCCATGCACATCTACATTGCATGCTGAAATAAATAAAGTAATAATACCATGGGTACTGTGCTCACATATCATCCCTGCATACAGGTTGGTAATCCATGGGACACACCATATTACATCCATCTCCCATAGACCCATGCACATCTACATTGCATGCTGAAATAAATAAAGTAACAATACCATGGGTACTGTGCCCACATATCATCCCAACATACAGGTTGGTAATCCATGGGACACACCATATTACAACCATCTCCCATAGACCCATGCACATCTACACTACATGCTGAAATAAATAAAGTAATAATACCATGGGTACTGTGCTCACATATCATCCCCACATACAGGTTGGTAATCCATGGGACACACCATATTACATCCATCTCCCATAGACCCACGCGCATCTACACTACATGCTGAAATAAATAAAGTAATAGTACCATGGGTACTGTGCTCATATATCATCCCCACATACAGGTTGGTAATCCATGGGACACACCAAATTACAATTATCTCCCATAGACTCATGCACATCTACACTACATGCTGAAATAAACAAAGTAATAATACCATGGGTACTGTGCTCACATATCATCCCCACATACAGGTTGGTAATCCATGGGACACACCATATTACAACCATCTCCCATAGACCCATGCACATCTACACTGCATGCTGAAATAAATATAGTAATAATACCATGGGTACTGTGCTCACATATCATCCCCACATACAGGTTGGTAATCCATGGGACACACCATATTACAACCATCTCCCATAGACCCATGCACATCTAAACTACATGCTGAAATAAATATAGTAATAATACCATGGGTACTGTGCTCACATATCATCCCCACATACAGGTTGGTAATCCATGGGACACACCATATTACAACCATCTCCCATAGACCCATGCACATCTACACTACATGCTGAAATAAATAAAGCAATAATACCATGGGTACTGTGCTCACATATCATCCCCACATACAGGTTGGTAATCCATGGGACACACCATATTACAACCATCTCCCATAGACCCATGCACATCTAAACTACATGCTGAAATAAATAAAGTAATAATACCATGGGTACTGTGCTCATATATCATCCCCACATACAGGTTGGTAATCCATGGGACACACCACATTACAACCACCTCCCATAGACTCATGCACATCTACAGTACATGCTGAAATAAATGAAGTAATAATACCATGGGTACTGTGCTCACATATCATCCCCACATACAGGTTGGTAATCCATGGGACACACCATATTACAACCATCTCCCATAGACCCATGCACATCTACACTACATGCATGCTGCAATAAATAAAGTAATAGTACCATGGATACTGTGCCCACATATCATCCCCACATACATGCTAGTAATCCATGGGACACACCATATTACAACCATCTCCCATAGACCCATGTTCATGTATACTACATGCTGAAATAAATATAGTAATAATACAATGGGTACTGTGCTCACATATCCCCACATACAGGTTGGTAATCCATGGGACACAAAATATTACATCTCCTATAGACCCATGCACATCTTCACTACATGCTGAAATAAATAAAGTAATAATACCATGGGTACTGTGCTCATATATCACATCAACATACAGGTTGGTAATCCATGGGACACATCATATTACAACCATCTCCCATAGACTCATGCACATCTACAGTACATGCTGAAATAAATAAAGTAATAATACCATGGGTACTGTGCTCACATATCATCCCCACATACAGGTTGGTAATCCATGGGACACACCATATTACAACCATCTCCCATAGACCCATGGACATCTACACTGCACGCTTAAATAAATAAAGTAATAATACCATGGGTACTGTGCTCATATATCACACCAACATACAGGTTGGTAATCCATGGGACACACCATATTACAACCATCTCCCATAGACCCATGCACATCTACACTACATGCTGAAATAAATATAGTAATAATACCATGGGTACTGTGCCCACATATCCCCACATACAGGTTGGTAATCCATGGGACACATGCACCATATTACAACCATCTCCCATAGACCCATGCACATGTATACTACATGCTGAAATAAATAAAGCAATAATACCATGGGTACTGTGCTCACATATCATCCCCACATACAGGTTGGTAATCCATGGGACACACCATATAACAACCATCTCCCATAGACCCATGGACATCTACACTGCACGCTTAAATAAATAAAGTAATAATACCATGGGTACTGTGCTCATATATCATCCCCACATACAGGTTGGTAATCCATGGGACACACCATATTACAACCATCTCCATAGACCCATGGACATCTACACTAAATGCTGGAATAAATAAAGTAATAATACCATGGGTACTGTTCCAACATATCACCCCAACATACAGGTTGGTAATCCATGGGACACATCATATTACAACCATCTCCCGTAGACCCATGCACATCTACACTACATGCTGAAATAAATAAAGTAATAATACCATGGGTACTGTTCCAACATATCACCCCAACATACAGGTTGGTAATCCATGGGACACACCATATTACAACCATCTCCCATAGACCCATGCACATCTACACTACATGCTGAAATAAATAAAGTAATAATACCATGGGTACTGTGCTCATATATCATCCCCACATACAGGTTGGTAATCCATGGGACACACCATATTACAACCATCTCCCATAGACCCATGCACATCTACACTACATGCTGAAATAAATATAGTAATAATACAATGGGTACTCTGCTCACATATCATCCCCACATACAAGTTGGTAATCCATGGGACACACCATATTACAACCATCTCCCATAGACCCATGCACATCTACACTACATGCTAAAATAAATAAAGTAATAATACCATGGGTACTATGCTCACATATCATCCCCATATACAGGTTGGTAATCCATGGAACACACCATATTACAACCATCTCCCATAGACCCATGCACATCTAAACTACATGCTGAAATAAATATAGTAATAATACCATGGGTACTGTTCCAACATATCATCCCCACATACAGGTTGGTTATCCATGGGACACACCATATTACAACCATCTCCATAGACCCATGGACATCTACACTACATGCATGCTGCAATAAATAAAGTAATAGTACCATGGATACTGTGCCCACATATCATCCCCACATACATGCTAGTAATCCATGGGACACATGCACCATATTACAACCATCTCCCATAGACCCATGCACATGTATACTACATGCTGAAATAAATATAGTAATAATACCATGGGTACTGTGCCCACATATCCCCACATACAGGTTGGTAATCCATGGGACACACCATATTACAACCATCTCCCATAGACCCATGGACATCTACACTACATGCTGAAATAAATAAAGTAATAATACCATGGGTACTGTGCTCACATATCATCCCAACATACAGGTTGGTAATCCATGGGACACACCATATTACAACCATCTCCCGTAGACCCATGCACAGCTACACTACATGCTGAAATAAATAAAGTGATAATACCATGGATACTGTGCTTACGTGGTGTAGTGGTTTCATTCGAGGTAGTCATTTTTAATGATGATAGGGATTAAGTCGGAAAAAAGATGGCACTAGTGATCTGTCTAAAAGGAGATTTGAATAGACAAGACCACTGCTGCCATCTTTATGTCCACTTAGTGCCTATAATAAACTATGAATGAATAATAATCAGAATGAATCATTATCAGAATGAAAAATTATCAGAATGAGATATTTCCAGAATAATTCTATTATCAGAATGAGGCATTATCAGAATGAATCATTACGAGAGTGAAGCATTTTCAGAATGAGACATTATCAGAATGAATCATTACTAGAGTGAAGCATTTTCAGAATGAGACATTATCAGAATGAATTATCATCAGAATGAATCATTATCAGAATGATCGTAATTGTGAATATTATGAGTACAAGAACCTTACCGAAGCAACCAAACAGTAAACTTTTCAATTCATGAAATATTAAGACTTTATACTAAATACATTTCCTGTGATATTACCTGCAAGTAACATGAAGATCGCTACTAGTCCAACCCTCATCATTGTCAACTGCTTGATGTTATCCCATGTACAGTTGGCTAATACGTACAGGAAATTTAGTAAATTATAGTTGAAGGTACTCAAGTAATACCAGTTACACTCAAGTGTACCAAACAATTGGCCTGAGAAGATTTGGAACTCAACAGGTGGCCATGTCCCCTAACAATTTCAATCAGCTTTTTATCAGCATTGTTATATTTGAGTGTGGTATGTATATTTTTGGCAAGGTCAAGACATCATTTGTGGCCAATATTCATGAAGCGTATTTTTAGTATCCCTAAATGGATTACAATCTAATGCCAAATATATGTAAGAAAATGACAGTGTTTATTATTGTTTATAAGTGAATTTGGAATGTGATTATAAAATATGTAAGAAAATGATAGAAAATGAAGATAGAACTAATTATTATTATTTATAAGTAAATTTGATATGTGATTATAATTGTTTTTTTGCATTACTTCACTCGCACAAACCAAATAAAACAAAATGGACTGTAGAGGCTGAAAACAACTTACCACACAGACACATTCAGGCATTTATGTTGAGCTTTTTACAAATGTGCCTATGTGGTCCATTGGTTTCAGTTAAATTTGGTCACCCAGTAAAATTCATGAGAAATCATTGGACGCCTCAACTGAAGCAAACCGACAAAAATAACACATTTATCAAATCTTTTTTGATTTCTCCTTTAGACACCCCTGCATTGATCTGAGGACATTTTAGAAGTTCCTTCTTGAATAGAGAGTCAAGACCTTCTGCTGATTGCTAATAAGGCATTTCTCTTTCAATTTTTACTACTGACAGAATTGACAAAAATAAAAATGTTCAAGAAAATTCATTTTTTCAACATGTTTTTCAACTTTTTCTTTTCATTCCACAGTTTTTTAATAACCTTCAGTACTCTGTAAATCACTAAATTGTACATTTTTTACATAAAACATGCCTATTATTCATACCTTTAATGAAATAAACTCGCATAAATGTGTGAATACAAAACAAGAAATTTGTAACTTTGACAGTAACAAATAATATATCTTAAAGACTGAAAAATGCCTGAAAATGCCAATAACATACAAGTATATCATCATGAAAAACCATAGCCTTCTATCATTTCATATAAGAGAGGTTTCATAAACAGTGTACTACAAGTCATGTTGTTTCATCCTAAATACATCATTATTTTTTTTAAAGAAAATGTAAAACAAAGCATTGATATGAAAAATGTCACTACCTGCCATTTGTTACAGACACCTTAATGCCAAACACCATCCATAATAAGTTGACAATATGTTACCACTTGTGGTGGTAAAACAACAAAATTGTAACAATTTGTCACAGACACTTATGCTGAATTCTGATCAAAGAAACTGGTGGCTGTAACAATATGTCACCATTCTTTAATGGTGCCATAAATAATTTAATCTCAGTGATTAAGTATGTTAATCCATCGTCCATGGTCGCTCTTGTTCTCTAATTTTACTTAAGTTTTTCATTGCTCTCTTGGGAGGTACAAGGCTCTGTTGAGCTATCCCTACTCTTTTCTTTTTCTTGGCCTGTCCCATATAGCTATCATCATCCACCTCAACTGGTAAATCCTCTCCCTGAGGAAAATTTGAAACTCCAAAATGTTGAACAATTTTAGCACTAGTCTCTTCCTGGTTCCCAGAATTATCATTGGAATTTCCAGCATTGGGAACATCATGAAAGTATTTGCATTTCTTCCCAAATTTGCATTGTCCTTTTCTAAACTTATAACATATTTGTTTACGTTCTTTTTTCTTCAAAGTTTCAGCGACTGTCATCTTAACATGTTGTTCAAGAACTGAATTTTTAGCCTCCTCGGCTATTTGAAATTTGGTTTTGAAAACACCTGCTTGCGAACCAATTCCATCTCCTAATAAGGGAGATGGTAGGCTCAGGGCTAATGGATTTGGTAATCGTTCTTTTGTTTCAGATTTTTCATTTTGGCACTTTTTATTTGGTTCATCATTGTCACTGTCATCTGAACTGAGATCTGCTGTTAGGAAGTTTACAGATGGCGCTGTTGTAGTTGGGTCAGCAGTATTGCATAGCTGCATTGTTGTGTCATCAGGTGAAACATTATCATTGTCCTTTACACCATTTTGCTTACTTGTTATATCAGTTGCAGGAAATCTGTAAAAATAAAATATAGCCTTTATCATATGTATGTAATACTATATACTCCCATCAGCTTGGCTTTTAAACACCAGGCTGTCACTTGAGAAATTTGAGAGGGGATCATTCCAAATGCTCTAAACATGACAAGTTAAGCAAAGAATCTGACAACATTAATTGTACTAGACAATGAGTCTCAGGCTAATCATGCAAAATATTGGGTGAGAACAAAAAAATGTCACCAATACCTCGTGACTGATGACTTCTTATGACTGATGTACTCTTTGATGTTTCATTTTTCTTGCTTTGTTCTGTAACAATTGTTCATCCCTTCCCTTTTGCATTTGTGAATAAATGTTGATCAATCTATGATCCTTTGCAAAGTTATGACGAAAAGATTTCGGATGAGTAGGTTTAGGACTGATTTGATGCCCCCTCCCCTGATTTGTGATTTGGTGCCCCCCCCCCTCCTCTCCTTTGAGGAAGGATAGCCAGATACTTACTTATCATGACTCTCACGTGGTCGTCTTAGGAACTACAGTATGACTTACTCAATAATCAACAATACAATTTACAATTTACATATGTAAAATTTGGAGGAAAATGTCTATGGATAATACCTATTAAATATAATAATACATACAACATGATATCTCTCACAAATTGCCATGGAAATATTCATAATATTAGATATTCATGTCAACCATCTTTCATTTTTGTAAGGTTTGCTATTGTCTCCATTGCCATAATCAAGGCAGCCACATACACGGACATACATGTTGATGTGTCACTACATGGCAATAGTGTAAATGTCATGATTAAAGGGTCCTGCGTTGAACTGGAATATATGGGGTAACTTTATGCTGGGGCTATTCCGACCTTGGCTTATATTTTAAATTCATGCAGTCTGCCATGTTTGTTTTTTAAAAACACATCATAATCATGCATGGGCACAATCTTAATCAAAGATGGTTGACCTCTAATGTGAATTATCAGTCATGGTCTAAATTTATCCCGTGCCAGGACTATAGTCCTGTAACGAGCACATTCTTTTGCCTGTACGATTACAACTTGGGAGAATTATCTATGCCCCTTACACTTAAGATACCTACTTCAATAGATTCCTGGGTATTTTAGCATTCTTTTCGTGTAGTTGAATCCACAATTGTCTGGGTATATCGGCAGAACGGGAACATTTTTCTTCTTCATCGAGAGATATTCCATCACTTTCCAAGATGGCGGTTGGATTTAAAAGGGAATTCCCCATTCGACTGACCCAGAAATGACCCGGAAGTACCAACAATGGAGGAATTTGATGGTTGAAATAAGTTAAATATTACACGCAAATATTGCGATCAAAAACGAAAATTTCTTTGTTCTGCCGATAAACCCAGACAATTGTGGATTCAACTACACGAAAAGAATGCTAAAATACCAAGGAATCTATTGAAATAGGTATTTTAAGTGTAAGAAGCATAGAAAATTCTCCCATGTTGAAATCGTACAGGCAAAAGAATAAGACGTTCGCGGGACCATAGTCCTGGCACGGGATAAGGTCTAAATAGCGAAGTTCGACAGAGGACCCTTACATGTACGTCAAATCTTACTCACTTCGAGAGCCATGTTAGATTTTGAAACTTATGGCTCTCAAACGGAGAAGTGAACAGCTGATCAATAGTGACCTTTGAAATTGAATTAAGTCGATCCGCGGCTTACTTTTGGTCTCTAACTGTGTCTTACATCAGTATCATCAATCCGTGTAAGTATTGGAGCGCTGGAGTACTTCTTTTTCGATCAAGACTTGTAAATTGTTCATCGAGTTAAAGTTTTACAGACCTATTTCCAATATGGCGGTTTGCTAGATGCGAGATATGCAACGAACGAAATGAATTTTGAGAATTAGTTAGGTTCGGACAACCTCCGGAGATTTACGAAAATGTCCGAGAGCAGAAACCGCCATATTGGAATTTGGCAGTAAAACGATTCACTCGACTAACAATTACAAGTCTTGATCGAAAAAGAAGTACTCCAGCGCTCCAATACTTACACGGATTGATGATACTGATGAAAGACACAGTTAGAGACCAAAAGTAAGCCGCGGATCGACTTAATTCGATTTCAAAGGTCACGATCATTGAGCTGTCCAAATGCTCCGTGGGAAAGCTATTATATCAAAATCCAAATAGCTTTCGCAGGAAGTAACGTCAAATCATTTAGGCCTACATGTAGCTCCGAAACTAAATTAGTTATTCACCTACAATTAAGTTCAGTATCTAGTCAGGTAGTAACCTGAATGTTGTAATTACTACTGATCCTAATCACAGATCAACATCAATATAAAAAATTATGGAAAAATCTGAAAGTGAAAAAATCATATCTGACAGGTAACAAGTCTCTTAGTAAGAGTCTTACAACATGTTTGGATAGATGTATGTGTTATATGAATGCAACCATTATTGAGACATCGCGAGGTCATACATACTTCTCTTCAACATCCCCATCAACATCAGAATCTTCTCCAGAACTTGTTCCATAATCTGCAACCAAAGAAGCCATGTTTTGATTTTAGGAAGAAAATTCCAAGAACGATGCTGATTGGTTGATTGAGGATCAATATATTTTTCTTGCCAATATAGTATTTAGATAAGATTCCTACGTTATTTTGATACAGGTGTCATGATGGTTGTCTTTTGTTGCACACATTTAAGGAATTATCGTGGAATTGACAATCAATGACAAAAACAGACCGGTTATTCAATCAGCTGATCACGTTAGATGGCGCTAGAAAAGTTGTGACTTAAAAGTAATTTAGAAGTTATCGGTTCCTAATATTTATATTCATCATAGATTTTCCCATTCAATCGATTTAAAACAGTAACCATTAGCTCATATCTTCTATGACTATAAATTCTGAGATTTTTTCTTTGGAGGAAATTGTTCTTTGTATGTTTCAACATATGTCGGAAACGAATATTTCTAGCTTATCCTCGAAGACCTCCTTCCAAGGGCCATTTTTGTGGAATAAGAAACAGATGAGGAAATGTCTGGAAAAATACGCACAAAAGCAGCTTCAAACACGACAGATTCAGCTACATTGTCGTTGAACGAGAAGATATTGAAGGAATGTCACAATGTATACACAAATCCAGATAATGGTGAGCCTTTTTCTAAGCTTATATTGAATATAAAACTTGTGCCGATATTTCCCGTTCGAATTTCGCAGTCAAAAAATGTACTTGGTTACGTCATCAAAACGCAAAACTGAGGCGAACTTATTAATTCTGTTCATTGTGTCACAGTTCTGAATAAACATATATATTCTCTTAGCTTCTAGCTGCAGTTTGGTACCAAATAATGTAGCTTTTTGTGTCAAAATAACAGATGAATCACTATGCACATTTTGCAAGATTTGCAAGATTGATCATGCATTTTATGCGTGATTTGAATAAAACGTTATTTCGCATCAATAGCCTTCACATATCACCCTCATATGTTTTCTTCTGATGCAAAATAAACGTTCAAACCATATGCAAAAGTGAAATGATTAAAATTCTTCTTTGTAAAGGAAAACTGGCACAATCTCAATCAGCTGATGGAAAAGACTGGAAGTGCCCCTCCCACTTTATTGAGGCCATTTACATGTTGAAGTACATTGATGAATGTTCCTGTATTGGTCTTCATAAAAGACCTAAATAAATCAATGATATTTCCATGATAAATGTCACATAATGCTATACAGTTATGAAACACATTTTTGTAATGTCTATTACACTATTTGTTTGAATATATCTGCAATTGACAAATGTGATTGTAGCGAGTATGAGATATCATTAGGACGCATTTACACGACCTAACTATTGACCTTTGCATACCTTTTTGTTTGATAATGTATTGAATTCATAGCATTCTCCTTTTCTACATGTGTTTACTTAGGGAATGAGTCACCAATTCTTGAAAAGAGTGATAGATCTACTTATATTTGGTCATGACATTAAAGGAGTCTCAGTTTACTTTTGTATTTATGCTGCATCAATGTCATTGTCGATTAACACATTTATTGCAGTACTTGAACAATTGTCATAAAATAAAATAAATAAATGAATAATTGTTTTTAATGTCATCAAACCATTGATGTCCAAGGAATAACATTGTCATATTGAAAGTTTATTTATTTATTTTTTATTTCATTACAAGATTTTCTGTCACAGTTTGGACAGTAAATAATTAGTCATGGATTTGCTGAAGTGAGGATTTTCCAAAAACATAAGAATTTTCAAGAAGCCATATACATGTATCAGTGGATGAGAGTATTTAAAATTTATTAAGGAAATATATAGGGGTTATGCACTGGGAGGTTTTGGATACAGGGAATATCCCGAGGGATATACAATATATCTTCTCGAGGGACCAAGGGAAGATATATTGTATATCCCAAGGGATATTTCCTGTATCCAAACCGACAGTGCATAACTGTTCTATTCCATTTGTCATCATTGATGTTGTAGGTCTACTCTCAATAGTCTCAGGTCTTGGGTTGAGCCTTGTATCCAGAATATTGTCATCATTGAATGCTAATATTTGTCATCATTGATTTTCAGTGTTCTCCCCCAAAAAAATATTTAAACTGGGTGCAATTTTTCAAGTCTAAAAAAATCGCTCAGTACACTCACAATATCTCCAGGTTGGTGCTTACTTTACTCATTTTGCAAATCAGAAGTTGGAGTGCAGGGTGCCAACTGGGGGCCTTTGGTTTCAAGTAGGGGGTAAAAGTGACATGGGGAGATCACTGATGTTAAAGGTCTAGTCTCAATAGTCTCAGGTCTTGGGTTGAACCTGCTTTCATCAAGAACATTGTCATCATTGAATGCTAATATTTGTCATCATTGATGTTATAGGTCTAGTCTCAATAGCCTCAGGTCTTGGGTTGAATCTACTAGCACCCAGGAAGAAGATCACTGTACTCCTCATTGGCAACCATTCTGCTGGCAAAAGCTCATTCATCAATTGGTAAGTAAATAATAACACAGGGCTGTCGTTAGGCTTTTAGACAGTGGCGCAGCACCACAGTCTACTTAGCTCTAACCACACCCTATTAGCAAATCATGATTGTTTCCACAGTTTAAAATTGACTGAATACACAATAATAGCATGCATAAAGGAAAAAATATAACATAAATGTGATTGATTGAACAGGATAAAATATAACATAAATACAATTGAACATGATTGAACAGTAATGCTGAAGATGTTTCCACCACACCCTAAATATTGCCTGGTGAGAGCCTTGTAACAGGTTTATGAATGATGATATTTTGGTCCTTTAGTGGTACAATGAAACGGCCATGTATATCTCAGGCCCGTAGCCAGGGGGGTCTGGGGAATCCCCCCTTGCCAAAACTTCTTTCAAAATCATGCAGTTTTCACCATTTTGACCACTTCTCAAGTGATTTTAGCCATATTTTGGCCAAAATTGTCAAATGTGAACCCCCCTGGAAATTTTTGAAAACTGACCCGAACAATGCCTGGTCTGTATTTTAGTCTTTAGTTCAGTGCTGTATTTCTATCAGAAGTAGGAAATTAAATGACAATTTTGCAAAAGTTTGGTTAGTTTTTATGTTCGAATTGTAATGTAGACCTCAGATCAGGTATTATATGGAGTAATAAATACCTTAGGGCTAGACACAAATGCTTTCAAATCCATCTCTCCCTCACTTATTTAGGGGTAGGTACAGAAAACATTTATACCCTGCAATATCTATTTGTTGTTCTTTGCTTTGCTCAATGTAACAGAACAACAATATCAAATTATACTTTCGTTTATTGCAAAAAGTAGCCTCTGTAACAGCATGGTGTTATAAAGATGGTAAATACAAGTCACCTTAAGTACAAAATGCAGGTAACGATACTGGAGATCTAAATGCACAGACACTTATGACATGATTCCCTTTTAAGCATGAAAGAGCTCTCTGAATGAGATCGTTAAGACTCAACTTAGCAAAGAAATATAAATTAACATTTATCGAAATTGATTGATCCTGGCCATTAAAAACCTCAAATTCCTCAAAGTCCTTCAAGCTTATGTCGCTGCGCTCAAATGCACATAACTTACAACACCTTGTAAGTTATATGTCAGTAAGTTATTAGTTGTATTGTCAATAGGAAATAATAGAATTGGGACCAAGAAAAAATATTCACATTTGATAGATGTTCTGATTAGAGACGGATGTATCAAGATGACGTAATCTTGTCATCTTTTAACATAATAATTACAGTCCTGAACATAGCTCCAAGTATTAGCTCTGGATTAGATGTCATTGGCACATTTGTCTTAATTGGGCCATTTTCAAAGACTTTGCTTCAAAGTGAGATTTATACCTACATAATATCAGTATTTAACTGCCTTTTTGATGGTCCAAGAATAGGATTGGAATGCTCTCTTTTCTGAACCTTGAATTACATGAACCAGGATGCAGTTGGAGTAAAAAAAGTCTTGAAATCCAAGACTTCAATTTACCAGGGACTTCCTAATTGCTTTCTGCCTATTACTTCTCTGTTTGTTTATATATAGTGCAAACATGGAACTTATGCTACAGAAAAGAAGCCTTTTTAGTCTAGTTAGTGCTAACTACAAATCAGCAATTCTTGTTTAGGTTGTGAGGTTCTTAGGTTTTCATCAGTCAAGACATGCACTATGCCTATTGTTAATGTTGATATTAGGAATGAAGGGATTTTGTATTAAGTCTTTTGGGCAGCCTCGGAAATCATATGTTCAGTAGTGTACATGTAGTGGTTTCTGAATGTTTTGATCAATAAGATAAACACAAAAAATTATACGTACAGTAAAACCTGTATATAGTGAACACCAATGAAGCCACAAAAAAGAGTTCACTGTCGGTAGGTGTTCATGACGGAGATTTTATACAGGAGTCAATGTAGAATGTATCTTGAAGTGGTGTTCACTAAACACAGATGTTCACTAAAGAGGTGTTCACTTAGACAGGTTTTACTGTATAATGAAGAATGTTTCTAAGTCAGAGGTATTTTGGTACTGTGTATTAGTGTGAGAATCATAGGTATCATATCAGTGTCATCATACCAAGTTAAAAATCAATTTGCACCTTGTGAAGCATTTCATTTATGAATTATCTTGTTCCATGTTAAAAGCTAATTAGTACCCGGCAAAGATTCGGACAATCATGAAATACATGTACAGTGATCTCCCCAGCATTAAATCAAGTGGGCGCAGCACCCACCTGAGATCTTGAGAATAGGCTTGCACCCACCTGAAAATCCTTATGCACCCACTTGAGAATGAGAAAAATCATGAAAAACAGGCATATTTTCACCAATTTTGGACAGATTTGTGAAAATGAGAATTTTGCACCCACTTGAGAAAAAAGTCTTGTGGAGAACAGTGCATGTATTTGGATATTTCAAGAGAGAACAGTTTTTTTTATTTTGGAGAGAATATGGGTAATGCATAGGCTCAAATGTAATTTTATACCAGATTTAGAGAGAATTCAGATATAACACTGTTTAGTTTAAGAATAAATTAGCATTGATTGTTCCCCATTCATTGAGAATTCTAGGTCTTTCTTCAACCACAGAAACTCTGCTCTGGAAGTTTTGCAGAATCATTCTCCCTTGCAGATTATTGTGCCTTTTATTTTAAGGTGGCTATTAGAATAGCTTGTGATATGAAATCTGTCTGTGTACATATTTATCAATTGTAAAGAAAGGTATTTTTATGAGTTGTATCTTTCAGATAGCTTGAGCTTTGTTCAGACATTCTCACCTTTATGTCCAAAGTCCAACTATATTTGATACAGTTAATTTACTGCAAGGGCTGAACTGGTTTTACCTGCCTAATATTCTACAACCGGTCTGGTTGTATTAGTCTAATGTACATCATTGAGAATTACCACAAATTGAGGTAATTCATTTACATTAGAAAAATCAGAAAAACATGGGTGGTGTGATCGCCAAAATAATTTCCGTTTTCAGTCAGGGAGGGGTGCCTTTCTGTTGGTACATTATTCTGTTATACAGAGTCCCTACTTTCAGTGGCATTTTGGTCCCCAGGTCGAAGTTAGTACTGCATGGTTATGGGGGGGGGGGGCGGGGGGTGTTCGCACCCATCGCACCCCCTGGTTATGCCTATGCCTTACATGGCATATATGTGATATATATTGGAAAATATGATACAGAGCATCTCATTCTCCCGAGAAGTGGTAAATCATGTTTTTAGAGATATAAGTAGAAAATATCTCTATACGTTGTTAGTGATTATTGTCTATTTGAATTTACCTTGTATATACAAAGAATAATAAACAGAACAGCATCATTGAATACTAAGTAACAAGTGCCCAGGGTATGAACATGTTACCTTGTATTAGAAACTCATTCATCAAAGTTTTTTCATATTCATATATCTTTAGAGCAGACTTGCTTTGCACTGACTAAATTTGAGAATACTATATCGATTAAGCTCATATTTAATCATAATAGGTTTTATGAAAACCATGAATACAGTTTTCTGTTTCCTCTCAGTAGCTAGGCATCTGTGTCAGTAGCTAGCATTTGTTTCAGTAGCTAGCATTTGTTTCAGTAGCTAGCATTCATTTCAGTAGTTAGCATTCTTTTCAGTAGCTAACATTTGTTTCAGTAGTTAGCATTCATTTCAGTAGTTAGCATTCAGTTCAGTAGCTAGCATTTGTTTCAGTAGCTAGCATTCATTTCAGTAGTTAGCATTCTTTTCAGTAGCTAACATTTGTTTCAGTAGCTAACATTTGTTTCAGTAGTTAGCATTCATTTCAGTAGTTAGCATTCAGTTCAGTAGCTAGCATTCATTTCAGTAGTTAGCATTCTTTTCAGTAGCTAACATTTGTTTCAGTAGCTAACATTTGTTTCAGTAGTTAACATTTATTTCAGTTGTTAGCATTCAGTTCAGTAGTTAGCATTCCTTTCAGTAGTTAGCATTTGTTTCAGTAGTTAGCACCTACCTGTTGTAATTAAGGAAGAAAAATAAAATTCAAACATTGGCAGTCTTTGATATGTTATCTAATGAAAAGTTACCAAACTTATAGAGGGGACAGTAGCTAGCTGATTCAGGGAAAGATCTGATCTCCACTCTTTATGAATGATAAACCAAATCTTATGTACAATCCCAAGAAAAGTGACACATTAATTTATACAACAATCTACCAAAATGTCCCTACATAGTAATAAGTCAATAGGAGATGACAAATTTTGGGACTGAGAAAAAGTCTATACATTGAGAAGTGTTCATATGTGTTCAGATTAGAGAGGTGTTCAGATTAGAGAAGTGTTCAGATGTGTTCAGATTAGAGAGGTGTTCAGATGTGTTCAGATTAGAGAGGTGTTTGGATATACAGGCTTCACTCTATATGCTTTTAAGGGGCTCCAAATCCAGACTATATGATAACTTAAGCCCTGACCTTCACAGTTTACCTTCTTCTGAGTTGCCATTGAGTGTTAGATGCATGCTCTACCACTGCTTCAAAAAATGATCATTAATTCTTTTGAAAATATATGTTTCAATTCTTGAAGGCCATTTGTTCATTCAGGTATTTCTGAAGGCTAAATGAGACCCCCCATAATCTTGATGTGTGTTTCTAGGTTTTGTTCTGTAAATTTACTGCCCCTCCCCCCCCCCCCCCCCCCCCCCCCCGCCCCGATGCACATACTCTGTTCTTTACCCCCCTCCCACTCACCCTAAGCCGGTGTTTTCATTATTTATTGATGAAATGATGAGGATTGACAGCTTAACAGAAAATGACTGAAAAGATAACTGAAATACAACAAATCCTCATTCACCAAAACTAAGTGGTATTTGCCTAAGAAATAAAATGAGTTTTTGAAATGTAAACATATCAGCTTGACCTAAAAGAAAGTATATTACACATACCATCTCAAAATCATGAATGCAAAAATGTAATGGTGTAATGATTGTATATGTTGACAAAAAGCAAAACGCATCCAATTCAGATACTATTATAAACTTGCCACATAGCATTTCTAAGTTTTTATAGGTTTTTGTTTGGTGGTCTGATAGAACATTGAAAAGGGACTGTAACCTGCAATACACATGTCAACAGAAATGTAAAGAATTGGAAAGAAAATCATAAGATACGTTTTCATACAGACACAGTCAAGTTCATATAAGTCCAACTTACTAAATGTGATCTCAGGACAAACCCTTAACTGTTATGTTCTTCACATATTTGCAGCAAGGGAACTGGAAATTGAGAAGCAGGGGAGAGGAAATAAAGATTTTATTTTGAAAATCTGGCTTTTTTGAAATACATAGATTTACCTGTATCATCATTGATCAGAGTTGTTTTGTTATGTCCCCACCACATAGTGTGGGGCCATATTGTCGTCCTAGGCGCGTCCGTCCGTCCGTCTGTCTGTCTGTCTGGTTGTCTGTCTGTCCGTCCGTCCGTCCGTCCGTACGTCCGGCAGTTTTCTCCAAAACCGCTACAGGTATCACCTTCTAATTTTCAGGAATAACTTATGAGTGCCTATAGATGTGGATGAAAAAAATTTAACTCGAAACCTACTTCCTGTCGGCCATTTTGAAGTCAAATGCTAAAATCCTTGTCTGCAAACTTTAAGAAAAACTGCTTCACAGTTGCATTTAAAACTTTAACATCTTGTTCAGCTCACTTCATTCTAGATCTGATTAGGTTTTGGACCTGCTAGCTCAGTCATGTCAGCCATTTTGAATGTCTTAAGAAAAGTTAGCGCGCGATAATACTTTGTATCATATTCAATGGTGTTTTTGAGTTTTCATACTTTAACTATTTAGTAGCTTTATAAATAATTTCAGATGTACTTTGCTGTAAAAGCCTACTTTATTGTTAACAGTAGTTATATGTGATAATTTTGTAAAAAGAAATCAGCAAAAACTCATAAGGACTTTTTTATTGTCGGCCATTTTGGATTTTTCGGTCCTAAAATCTTGTCTGTGAAGTCTTGTCTGCACGTTTTCAGGTGAACCGTTTGGTGGATCAATTTCAAATTTTCAGGGATGATTCTTAGTATAAAAATCTATATCTCATTAGTTTTTTGGCATTCTGGGTAAATGTCAAGGCAGCCATTTTGGATTTTCCGTCCTAAAATCTTGTCTGTAAAGTCTTGTCTACTCGTTTTCAGGTGAACTGTTTGGTAGATCAATTTCAAATTTTCAGGAATGATTCTTAGTATGAAAATCTAGAACTCATTAGTTTTTTTGCATTCTGGGTAAATGTCAAGGCAGCCATTTTGGATTTTCCGTCTTAAAATCTTGCCTGTAAAGTCTTGTCTACGCGTTTTTAGGTGAACGGTTTGGTAGATCAATTTCAAATTTTCAGGGATGATTCTTTGTATGAAAATCTACATTTGATTACTTTTTTTGCATTCTGCGTAAATGTTAAGGCAGCCATTTTGGATTTTCTGTCCTAAAATCTTGTCTGTAAAGTCTTGTCTACCCGTTTTCAGGTGAACCGTTTGGTAGATCAATTTCATATTTTCAGGGATGATTCTTAGTATGAAAATCTACAAACAGATTAGTTTTTTGATATTCTCGGTAAATGTCAAGGCAGCCATTTTGGATTTTCCATCCTGAAATCTTGTCTGTAAAGTCTTCTTTACATGTTTTCTGGTTAACTGTGTGACGGATCAATTTCAAATTTTTCAGGGGTGGTTCTTAGTATGAAAATCTAGAACTGACTAAATTTTGGGCATTCTGGGTAAATTTTAAGGTGGCCACTTTGGATTTTCCGTCCTCAAATTGTGTTGGTAAAGTCTTGTCTACTCATTTTCAGGATAACCATTTCACGGGATCACAACTTGGTGGGGACATTTTGTACACATTTGTGTTCTTGTTTCTCATTCTTTTACCATTTGGATGTATCATTTTGCTTCATTGTGTAAATTTCTGTCAAATAGCTAGTCTGGCTTCAAGACCTTTGCCTCCCCCCCCCCTCATTATTTACCTCAACAATTAGGAGTGGAGTCTTGAAACAGGACCATCAAACAGCCTGTTACATATATATATTCATCAATATGCACCCCGCCCCCCCCCCCCCCCCCTCCCTCCATCATGCCTTATTTCATCAACTGTTTCATCCACATATCTGTAGATTTCTGACGTAGACATCTCAAAAATAATTCATGGTGAAATCTATATTTGGTTGTTTTGTTTTCCAGGTATATTGAGGAACATGTCCAGAGAGTTGGTGTTGCCATAGAAACACAGGGTTTTACCTTCGTCACTAGTGGCAGGAAACGAGAATCTCTTACTGTAAGTCATGTATAGGGAACATATCTCATTATATAGACCTGTTTATTTCATTTCTATCTAATTTGTTATTTTTGATACATCATGCCAGTTTAAGAAAATGAAGTATATTTATGGCTTACCTTTTTCTCAGAAAATGTTAATATTAAGCAAGTTTTAGAAAACATCTCAATATGTGTTCAGGTGAACATAAACGATCTCATCTCATAATTGCTGAACATCTGTCCCCAATCTTGGCCCCCATATCTATGACCCTACACCTTGTGTATAAGGTCTGTAGTTGGGGGGTGGAGGGGGGTAGCACAAGGGTTTGATGAGTTGGCATCTTGGATTTCCAAGGTGTGATGAAAATCATACTCTAATCTAGTATGGTGTGATAAAGATCAGTTAAAAGTTCAATGAGATCAAAATGACCTTCCATGTCCAGACATCCTACAATTACTTTTCAATTTCCAAGATTCAATTAAGGGAAATATTTGAGGTTTTCACTGATGAGAATTGATGTACAGAAAAACCTTTCATTTGGAACACCTTTTTGAAAAACAAAGAGTTTCCATTTAGAACCAAGTTCCACTGACTTAAAAGATATTCCTAAATCTCCCTTTGCAAGGAAAACCAGTAAACATTTTGACCAGTTCAAAGAGTGTTCCATATAAACAGGTTTCACTGTATTTTAAATTCAGCTTCAAATGTTTGTGGTTTGTTTCAGGGCAATGCTACGTTACATCTCTATCCGCACTTTGAACCACTTCGCGAAATACCAGGTAAGAACAAGCTTTTAACCTGTATTAGGTCAATGTGACCTTTTGGAATTTTCAAATAAGGGACCATGTTTAGCATTGATATAACTAATTTAATTTTAGACAGGGATGGTGTCCATGTATACACATTGATATTTTGCCAGCTGCTTTACACCTTGATGATTAACGAATCTTGTGAGTTATCATCATTTTGAAAATCTAACTAGTTAAGGAGTATGAGTAAATATGAGCCTCTTCTTCATATAAAGATAACATCAATTCATAGAAAAAATAATCTTGATCTCTGATTGGCTATTGGTGGCAAGTGTGATGTTGAAAAGCCATATAAGGGCATATTACTTCATCAACCGTCCCATACTTTCCTGGAAAACCATAGAAATTAGCCGTGGACGTTAATGATGATTTATCTCTATTGGTTGTTTAAATAACAGGAAAGCGATCATCTGATTGTCTGTGATACCTCATAGGCCTAGGGGTCAATATGTAGGTCTGCTGCAATGGAACATCCAAGAGACATGTTATTGCATTCTCCTTTCACTCAGTTGATAAGTGATTACTACCCCAGATTTTGCTTCAGATTAAGTAATGACACAAAATTTGTTGAATTAATCATTTTTTAAACCATTTTTTACATCTAAAATTTATGCATGATTGTATTATTAGCCTGACATATTAGTTTAATTTTAGTTTAGACATTCCAACAGGCTTTTTATAACCAAAAATGTCGATGGGAAATTGGTTTTCAAAATCCTACTATAAATATCTTAACATGAACTTGTGGCAGACTGGCACGTGCCGTTGAACTTAACCAGTATTATTTAACATGTGATTTTACAGTCACTAGCAAAGCATCTAAATTCTGTATATGAGTCTATTGGTGAGTTTCATGTATCATGAAAAAGGATACGTTATATAATTTGGATCAATAATGGCAAATGTGGATTGTAATCAGCTGTTATAGCTTTGATATATACAGTGAAACCTGTATATCGGAACACCTCTCTAAACTGAACATCTCTCAATGTGAACACTTTTTCTCAGGCCTAAATTTCTTATCTCTCTTTGACTTGCATGTTAATATTGCTTGCACCTGTTATTGTAGAAGAGAGCTTTAATCATTTCCATTAAATCAGTTTATTTTCTCAATTATGTACAATATCATACTTTACACAATTACATATTATTTCACAAATCATTGGAAATACCATTATGTGGCACCTCATACGCCCTCTTGGGGGTCATAGCCACTATAACCTGTAAATATGTTTCATTGATTTTAATAAATAAAATAAAACCTTGAAATCTGAACACCTGCTTATCCTAACACTTATGGCTCCTTGAGGTGTTCAGATTAGACTGGATTTGCTGTATATGTATATATTATGTATGAGCTCATAGTGCTAGTGTCACCACACCCACCCCTTCTAAAGTGTTGACTGATTAGATAGCAATAAACTGGACAGGTAACTTGCTATAAGGGGCCAGCTCAAAAATGTGGGGAAAACATTATGAGACAAGATCTTTCACTTTCCTGTTTTAATGAAGGTTATAGTCAAATGTTGAAATTATATTGAATAAAATTGTTTGGTTTTTTCAGTATTTTTTTATTGATGAAAACGAACTTTATATCTGCCCTTATGAAATAATGATAATATTCGTGAAGGAATTGATGTTTGACCTGGCCCCCATTATCAGTCACCCCTATTATTCGCTAATCTATTTAAAACAAAGTTTTTTTACAGACACTACATCTATTTTACTTTCTTATACTAATCCGAGTAATTCTTTGTGTTAAGAAATGTAAAATTCCAAATTGCTGTTTCTACAGTGTTCATGATGCCAATTTCCAATTCATTTATTTCATTAAAAGAAAGGATGGTGAATTTGCTAAAAAAAAATTTAGTATAAACATTTATGACTTGCTTTTTTAGTCTCTTGAGTAAAGGTCTTTGTTGATTAAATAAGTCTAGGAATATTACAACTTGACAAGTTATTTGGTGTCTTTATATTGAAATCTAATTCAAAGATTTTCTCTTCCAAGTGTAACTGTTCTCATTTATGTATTAGAAAACTTAAAAACAGTTCGAATTTTGCTAAAGGAAAGTCTAGTTTTTAGGGAGGATAAACATTAGTGTATTCAATGTACCATTGATCACAAGAATGCCCAGCTGAACGGTAAATAAATTATGTGCCCACAATTTGATAGCTCCCAGTATTTTGAATCAAACATCTATGAATAGGTGGTGCTGATGGCGGCTTTTCATGAGGAAGCATTTAGAAATGCATAATGCTGCCTGGTGAAGAGCTGTCTTCAATTCCATCACAATCAACATTGATGTCACAATCACTATGGTGATGTCACACTTACTCATAGAAATATATAAAGTGCCTGGTGAAGAGCTGTCTTCAATTCCATCACAATCAACATTGATGTCACAATCACTATGGTGATGTCACACTTACTCATAGAAATATATAAAGTGCCTGGTGAAGAGCTGTCTTCAATTCCATCACAATCAACATTGATGTCACAATCACTATGGTGATGTCACACTTACTCATAGAAATATATAAAGTGCCTGGTGAAGAGCTGTCTTCAATTCCATCACAATCAACATTGATGTCACAATCACTATGGTGATGTCACACTTACTCATAGAAATATATAAAGTGCCTGGTGAAGAGCTGTCTTCAATTCCATCACAATCAACATTGATGTCACAATCACTATGGTGATGTCACACTTACTCATAGAAATATATAACGTGCCTGGTGAAGAGCTGTCTTCAATTCCATCGCAATCAACATTGATGTCACAATTACTATGGTGATGTCACACTTACTCATAGAAATGCATAATGCTGTCTGGTGAAGAGCTTTCTTCAATTCCATCACAATCAACATTGATGTCACAATTACTATGGTGATGTCACACTTACTCATAGAAATGCATAATGCTGTCTGGTGAAGAGCTGTCTTCAATTCCATCACAATCAACATTGATGTCACAATCACTATGGTGATGTCACACTTACTCATAGAAATATATAAAGTGCCTGGTGAAGAGCTGTCTTCAATTCCATCGCAATCAACATTGATGTCACAATCACTATGGTGATGTCACACTTACTCATAGAAATATATAAAGTGCCTGGTGAAGAGCTGTCTTCAATTCCATCGCAATCAACATTGATGTCACAATCACTATGGTGATGTCACACTTACTCATAGAAATATATAAAGTGCCTGGTGAAGAGCTGTCTTCAATTCCATCACAATCAACATTGATGTCACAATCACTATGGTGATGTCACACTTACTCATAGAAATATATAAAGTGCCTGGTAAGAGCTGTCTTCAATTCCATCGCAATCAACATTGATGTCACAATCACTATGGTGATGTCACACTTACTCATAGAAATATATAAAGTGCCTGGTAAAGAGCTGTCTTCAATTCCATCACAATCAACATTGATGTCACAATCACTATGGTGATGTCACACTTACTCATAGAAATATATAAAGTGCCTGGTGAAGAGCTGTCTTCAATTCCATCACAATCAACATTGATGTCACAATCACTATGGTGATGTCACACTTACTCATAGAAATATATAAAGTGCCTGGTGAAGAGCTGTCTTCAATTCCATCACAATCAACATTGATGTCACAATCACTATGGTGATGTCACACTTACTCATAGAAATATATAAAGTGCCTGGTGAAGAGCTGTCTTCAATTCCATCGCAATCAACATTGATGTCACAATCACTATGGTGATGTCACACTTACTCATAGAAATATATAAAGTGCCTGGTGAAGAGCTGTCTTCAATTCCATCGCAATCAACATTGATGTCACAATCACTATGGTGATGTCACACTTACTCATAGAAATATATAAAGTGCCTGGTGAAGAGCTGTCTTCAATTCCATCACAATCAACATTGATGTCACAATCACTATGGTGATGTCACACTTACTCATAGAAATGCATAATGCTGCCTGGTGAAGAGCTGTCTTCAATTCCATCACACTCAACATTGATGTCACAATCACTATTGTGATGTCACAATCACTATGGTGATGTCACACTTACTCATAGAAATGCATAATGCTGTCTGGTGAAGAGCTGTCTTCAATTGATGATTTGCGATCACCAAATGGATTCTGTCTTTTAGTGACGTCACAATTAGGTCAGCCAGCTTTAGATGCTTGATTTTGAGAGATTTTCTTCTATATTTCGTGCTTTATTGATTTATTTTTCACGAAAGCGTTCGATTTGACTAGACATGATTTAGATAGCGTTAAGTGCCCCCCGATTTTGACAAAAACGGGGGGGGGGCGCTTATAGGCATCGATGTTTAGTATGAATTTCACCCAAACTTCGCACATATATAGATATACTCATGATCTAGTCAAATCGGCATACCTGGTAAATATCCGACCCATGGTTTTCATATAAGAAACGACAATATTTTTAGCTCAAAACTGCCACGTGTCCACCATTTCGTGATTCCATCATGTCTAATATCATTTCTATATGACGTCATACCAATAAGACGAAATACGTGACAACAGTATCCATAAACAAAATTCCTGAATTCTGATCGCAAAAGGTCAATTCCATCACATGAAAACTCACCAAAATGTTTCGAATATTCATTATCCCATCGAACGAATTTCGGAGGGATATAGGGAACGCCTCCGTCTGTCCGTCCGTACGTACGTCTGTACGTACGTCCGTCCGTCCGTCCGTCTGTCTGTCCGTCCGTCCGGGCAATAACTCAAATACCGTTGGCCCGATTTTGTTCATATTTTGTACACATATACCCTATGTGTGTAGAAGTTCTGCTCGAAAGCAGATTTTTAAAATGGCCGCTCATTTAAAAATGGCGGCCATTTTAGTGCCGATTTTACTGTAATTTAGGTGCAATATGTAAAACTGTAATAGCAATATGTTTTAAATGTAAAATTATATAGGACATTGATCAAGCTAGAATAGAATGTAGATATTAAAGAAGCACATGGCAGCCATCTTGAAAAATGACGGCCTTTACTCTTTATTTTACGATTTTTGCTGTAACTCAAGTAGTGGAGCGATTTTGTTCATATTTAGTATGTGAATTCTATAAGCATGGCTCACTGTCTAATGACACTTTTGGTAGGAGGCGGCCATTTTGAAAAATGGCCACCATTTTGAAAAATGGCCGCCATTTTAACATATTTTACTATAACTCAAAAAGTAGTGGAGCGATTTTGTTCATATTTGGTTTGTGAATACTATAAGCATGGCACACTGTCTAATAACACTTTTGGTAGAAGGCGGCCATTTTGAAAAATGGCCGCCATTTTAACGTATTTTACTTTAACTCGAAAAGTAGTGGAGCGATTTTGTTCATATTTGGTATGTGAATAATATAAGCATGGCACACTGTCTAATGACACTTTTGGTAGAAGGTGGCCATTTTGAAAAATGGCTGCCATTTTAACGTATTTTACTATAACTTGAAAAGTGGTGGAGCGATTTTGTTCATATTTGGTATGTGAATATTATAAGCATGGTACACTGTCTAATGACACTTTTGGTAGAAACGTATATTTTACTCGGCCTTTACTTGTTATTTTACAATTTTTGCTGTAACTTGAAAAGTAGTGGAGCGATTTTGTTCATATTTGGTATGTGAATACTATAAGCATGGCACACTGTCTAACGACACTTTTGGTAGAAGGCGGCCATTTTGAAAAATGGCCACCATTTTAAAGTATTTTACTATAACTCGAAAAGTAGTGGAGCGATTTTGTTCATATTTGGTTGTGAATGCTAGAAAAAAAAACATATTACTTCTGATGACAACTTGGCTAGTGAGCAACCATTTTGAAAATGGTGGCCTTTCTTATGTGTGTTATTTTATGATATTTGCTATATATTTCGTTTGTAAAAATGCCAGCCATTTCTGTTCGATGGGATTTGCTACGCTTTGGCGTTGCCGTTGTTCTGGTTATGGTCCGCCATTACTACGGTCCGCTGTTATGACATCACACATTACACATATTACAAGGGGCATTGTTCGTGAATATACCCCGGGTGAAATGTTGACTTTGTTTACAGTTTATAGAAGGCGTGAATACAGTCATGTTCGAATGACTCATATATATTGTGTGCCTTGACTTGGATCAAAGCAAATATGACATATGTGATTGATTTTGAAAACACTTGAATTTTAATTACGGGATGATGTTTTATTCTCTGGTATCAGTGCGAAACAAGTAAAAGATATTTGGTATCATGGAACCCAGATATGTTAATAGAAATTTGTAGACCTGAACATGGTTTATGTGTTTTTAATATATTTTGCATTTCACTCTACATGTGCGGATAAAAATAGTACTTAATGATGCTACTGCATTTATGTGGGAGGTTTGATCTAAGATTTCCTCATATTTACTAAGTGCTGCAGTACAAACATACATGAGCTCATATTTTGATTTTAATAAACTTGCAACATCGTTATTACCTTTTGGCATGACCTAAAATGTTGATTCTGATTTTAGATTTCCAATGATTCGGATAAAGTATTTTGTACTTCATTTTATCAGACGTGTTTCAGACATGTTAGGGTCAAAGTACTTAAAGCCATTTAGCTATCTGTATTAGATTAAGATCTTTTAAATCTAATTGGACGCTTGAGATCACATGTTACTGACAAGGCATCATGGGTAATAATCTCCCTGAGATGGAAATTGCACATCAAAGTGAAAAGATAAAAAAATTCAGTATAAAATAGTTCCATTGAGTGGGAATACTGGAAACCACTTCCCATTATATCTGTACCACCCTTCTAGTCAACACAACTCCCAATATAAATCATAGACTATCAGTAAAAATATTTAGTGTGACAAATTTTGGACATCCTACATAATAGCGCTCTTCCTGGCTGGGTTTGATTGGAACGCAGTTAGAGGTGAAATGGATGATTTTGGTCATGGAATCCTAACACAAGGAATTGGTTTAACTAAGGAGAAATTAAGAATGGAACTGGAATACTTTATGACAATTTGCCTTAATAGATTTTGCCGGTAGGTTTTCATTCCAACTCAATATTAGAAATAACAGTATTACATGAATGAAATATATTATAATCATAAAACCCACTAAATATTAAAAATAATATATAGCAACAATTATCAAAATAAGACTGTGAGGAAAATTTTGAACATTATAACCAAATTATAGCAGAATCCTGATGAACATAAACCAGGTAGTTGTTTTGACATTTAAAACGTGCCTCAGCTTGCTTTTATTACAAATCACCATAGCGTATGACCCGAAGAAAATATGAGTAGTTAAAGGGACACCAAAGAACAAAGAGAACGAAATGTTAGAAGCAAACTTAAAGAGAAGTTAAGCCAATGCTCTCCTTTTTCAGTTCCAATTTTAGTCAGAAAAGAGAATCAAAATACTTGACAAAATATAGAAGTTATCAAAGATTTAAGATGAAAAAATATCTAAATTTATATTTATGAAACATTCCTATTTGACAAGGTAATTGCCAAAGAACCTCTTTTAAAATAAGCATAACATATTAAAATACTTCATTTATCCTTCAACTATGTGTCCACTTTCCATATTCTTTATTCTTTTGGTCAGGTATATACTTAATTGATGGAAAATATTTGAAGACAGACATAGACTAATATAAAGTTTGAATATATATATGTTACCCTATATATAGCAATACACGACAGTTACATGATCATTTACTTAGTTAAAGTCTAGTGATAAGATTAGATACGAAAGTTGTAATGTTCTTGAAGTAGAGTGTTTCACAATGGCCTATATACTGCACTATACTATATGAAAGACTGGATAGAAAGTACTGAATCTAATCATATTTGAACTCAATTTTTTTCTTTACTATTATTTGGGAGAATTTTAATCACCTTTTCCCCCATTTTTGCACTTTAAATCCTCAACAACTTCAGCATGTTAGACTTTATCTTGAATCTTCTGGGAGAACTTGTTTGTTTGTTTGTTTGTTTCTTTGTTTGTTTAGAAAAATAAAAGATGTCATAAATTGTCATTGAGGTCTAGTCTTTCATTTTGCTGCTGTCGTTCAATAAACCGAGAGCTGCCAAGTGAAGGGCTGAATCTTTGTGAGGTAACAATATTATGAGGTCATTATTATGAGGTAACAGAGTTGTAAACCAAAGACATTTTAGGAAGAAGCCCCAGAAAACCCAAATTGCTGCATATTGTCACATGGGTGAATGCCAGAACAATTTAAGTAATATAATCACCAGAGCACAGTTACCTTGTATGCAATGTAGCTTTCCACGGAGCAGCTATTCCTTGTTTTAAATGGGAGCTGCCCAGTGAAGGGCCACAGAGTTACAAGAATTTTCTTACATGGGAGTTGCCCAGTGAAGATTGGTCACAGAGCTACAAGAATTTTCTAACAGTGAAGATTGGTCACAGAGCTCCAGGAATCTTGTTTTACATGGGAGTCACCCAGTGACGAGCCACAGAGCTCCAGGAATCTTGTTTTAAATGGGAGCTGCCCATTGAAGGGTCACAGAGCTCAAGGAATCTTGTTTTACAATGGGAGTAGCCAATGGCACAGTGAAAAGCCACAAAGCTCAAGGAATCCAAAATGTTTTTTGCAGAAAAGTTGGTTAAAGTACATGTTTTGTTTTTTATACAGAGGGAACAATGCAGTTCTACAATAAAAAAAACTATGGATAAGTTATGAACTTACCTATAAAAAGTGTTCCATTTCACAGCAAGTTGCTACAAAAGCAAGCTTTTATGTATGATCTTGTAGCCTAGTAGGACAGTCAGGAGTGTCATTTTATAAGAGGTTCAGTTTCCATACATGACATAAATTTCAGCATTTTTGTTACCTCCCAGACATTGTCTTCTGTCCTAACATGTCCATGACGTTTCAAGAGAACTTTGTTAATTTTATCATTCTACTTTGTGCACTTTCAGGAGTGACCGACTATGTCGCAACAGAAATCTCAACTTCGAAGCAGAAGAAGTTCAGTCTGGTGACATTTGTAGATTCACCTGGACTTGTAGATGGAGACATGAAATATCCATTTGATGTCAACCAGGCAATTGCATGGCTCGGTAAGAAACAGTAGTCTGGAGGAAAGAACGCTTCTGTCTGTTATATATCAATGGACTAAGATTTTCGACATCTAAAAAGTCACTTGACTTTTTTGCAAAAAAACTTCCAAAAAGTAACAGTCGCATGAATTCACATTGTCGTACTTACAAAATGATCCACCGCCTAACTTATGCACCATCAAACTCGGTAATATTGTACACGTAACTATTAATTACCATATATTCCCATAGAAAACTGGGCTTGCTTTTCAACATTTCAAGCAAAAATTCTCTATGGAGCTTTTGTTTTTCTGACGTAATTTCTTCTAAGAAATCGGTGACGTGATAGGTTCAGTTCATCATATTTCGAAAGGGGTGCCATCTATTTAGAATATTAATTTTCATCTTGTCCAGTCCTATATACAACCTGCCCTTATCCTTTTCGCTTGTAAAACCGCGTAGTAATGTTGAAATTATAGAATAGATTCTCTGAGAGTGGCGACATGTCTGCATCTCTACCATTTTGCATTTGACACCCCTCGTTTTGGGCGAGTCCAAGTAAACCGCACATCCGGGTAATTAGAAAAGGGACATTTTTTTTTAAAAATCGAGCGGCAACGAAGATACTTCTGGTCAAACTGAGTTTATGACGAAACTTATGAAAGAATCAATAAAAGGTAAGTGGTATACATTAGGCGCATGCCAAAAATTAAACGTGGCGCCAATTTGAAACTTCAGAATGCTTTCTGTGATTCAAAATCACAAAAAAGTCTTTTTAGATGTCGAAAATCTTAGTTTCATTCATATTTTAAATGCATATGCATGATGGGAATTAAAGTTCTGCCCAAAAGCCAGGGACACTTGATATGTTAATGCATGGGAACATGATACATTTTGAAAATCAATCCCATCAATTGGTGGCCATTTTGAATAAGATGAGTTTTGTTACACCCTGGTGTTGCCATTGTTTAGATGAAGATTTATGTTCTCAATTAATTTTGCAGGTGACTTGGCTGATCTGATATTTGTGTTCTTTGATCCTATTGGTCAAGCTCTATGTAAACGTACCCTGAATCTGGTGGAGACCCTCAATGAGAAACATGCAGAGAGGATGAGGTTTTATCTCAGCAAGGCAGATGAGGCGGGCCATGAGAGTGATAGACAGGTGAGTGGGTGGGGCATTAAAGTTAAAGACAGGTGAGTGGATGGGGCTTTAGAGTGATAGACAGGTGAGTGGGTTGGGCATAGGAGTGATAGACAGGTGACTGGGCGGTGTATGAGAGTGATAAACAGGTGAGTGGATGAGGCATGAGAGTGAAAGACAGGTGAGTGGGTGGGGCATGAGAGTGAAAGACAGGTGAGCGGGTTGGGCATGGGAGTGATAGACAGGTGAGTGGGTGGGGCATGAAAGCGATAGACAGATGAGTGGGTTGGGCATGAGAGTGATAGACAGATAAGTGGGTTGGGCATAGAGAGTGATTGACAAGTAGGAGGGTGAGGCATTTGAGTACAAATGTGATAGTGAAGTGGGCATTGAATCAGATTGATGGAAAGGAAAGCTGTCACAATAGATAGGCCATAAAATATAATATAGACATTAGTGTGAGTGGGGCATGAAGGTTGAAAGATCCACATGAGAGAGGTCATAATTACAGAGTGACATACAAATAATAGAGTTCCATTTGCAAACAAAACTTCTAAAAATTCTAAAATCAAATGCCATACAGTGGTCAAAGTTTATTTTATATTTTACATATGAATAATCAACAGCAATCATTTAAATATTTCAGAGAGTTATGATGCAGATTGTCCAAGAACTTTGTAAGAGACCTGGACTCAACAAGACTGGATTTGACATGCCAACTATTTATATACCAAATCCATCTGGAAAAGTAAGTGCAATACCATATGTTATACGATTTTGCAATCCCATGTTTGAATATGATTTTGCAATCCCATGTTTGAATATGATTTTGCACTCCCATGTTTGATTACAATTTTGCAATCCCATGTTTGAATACGATTTTGCACTCCCATGTTTGAATACGATTTTGCAATCCCATGTTTGAATATGATTTTGCAATCCCATGTTTGAATATGATTTTGCAATCCAATGTCTGAATATGATTTTACAAATAAGGACTGTCATAAAGAGGGTGTTTTGGAATTTTTGATTTTAATCTGAGAATTTGTGATTTCAATGTAAGAATTTCAGATTTCAGCCTGAAAGTTTTCATGAATGTTCCTAGTTTCAATAATTATGATAGTTTCAGATTTCATTCTAAAAAACTGTAATCATTTCATTTCAGCCTAGTCGCTGTGTGAACCAGATAGAAGAAGTTTGTAAAGATGTTGAAAAGACGATCAATCAGACAATCCAGAATACTCTAAACACACTGGAGAAAGACTGTGAGAGTATATCAAGCATTATTGATAAAAAGATTAGGGAAGACAGGTAAGATTAAACATTTGAAATTAGGTATGAGTCTGCTAGTTAATATACTCCCGAACAAAAGTTTGAAAATCATAATTTTCCTCCTGACCATGTGTAAAATCTTTGGTAAATGTTTGGCAAATTCATCAGTCATTACATTGTATGACTGTCTGTAATTATTTGAAATCAATTTTCAATTTCAATTTCAATTCATTTATTACTAATAATATATATAGCTTACATAATTAGACATAGTAGGTGGCATCAATGCTGCTAAACCCAATATAAAAGGATAATGAAATTGTTATTTGGAAACCAATTAGTGCTGACTTGATAATGTGAAATCATGAAAAATTGGCAGTTTAAGCAAGACAAGACTGAAAATAAGCATATTCTATAACCTACTTCCAGTGAGGCGTGTTCATACAACTTCCGAGCCAGAAGCAAGGGATTCTGTTACCTGTGCCTCGGTCTTGTATTACCCATAATTCTTGCCATCAACTTCCTCGCAAGCAACGCAAGTAAAGAAATGCTCACCAACACATTAGGTGCAGCAGGCAGGGAACAACTCTATGTTTATATGGTAAGCTATTTTATTGTTAAAGTGGTTGTTTACGTTAAGAGCAAAATAGAATTCATTCACATGGATTTAGGCAACTTGCAAACATTCCTAAGAAAAGACTTGAACAGAAAACTGCAATTTCTGTTAAAGGACAACTGAAATAGCTTTTCTCAACTTGCAGCTACAAAAATGCGGTTTTCTCCATTGTAAGCCCAACGTAGAGTTCTTGCGATAGCCATTATAAAATAGATGTTAGATAACGAAATAAAACTAACTGATCAATCAAATTGGCCCCCAGGTGATTAGTAACGTCATATACAAAATATAGCTTTGGTTTATTGGTTCCTTAGTAATCACAACGTCACGGCAACCATAGGATTGTTGTGTAAACAAATAACAAAACATTTTGGCATTATGACGTCATGATCTATAATGGACCAAAATGGGCCACGTGGGGACCAGTGAGAGATCACGTGGGGGCCAATAACGTCACAACCAATTTGAATATTGCTTATTAAGCAGCTATAACGATCGTTAGAGTGAAATAATTTGCACACTACTGATGAGGAAACTTGTCCAAATACATTTATCAAAAAATTATATTGATTCCTTAAGGTTAAAAATACCATTTCATATCTGCTTTAATAAGATAATTTTTAATACTTTTGATTCTTGCTATTAATTTTAAGTTATTATTTGTGGTATACTTTAGTAAACTAAAAAAAAGATAATATGAAATAAAAGATTTTGATTGAACACTTTATTTATCCCATTCCAGTCTCCTGTTCGTAAGATGTGGTCCATGATACCAGAGGCCTACCACCTTCATGTGCTTGGGGCCTTCATATTTGTATCTCTATTGCTAGTCGTGCTGGGAAGATGGTCTTCCAGGTAAGTACAGTAGCACCAGCAAATGTCGGGGAGGTTTGAAAAAAGGCCAAAAAGGACCTACGATGTGTGATTATTTCAAAATGATAAGCCATCGGGGAAATGTAAGGAAAAGTATCAGACTTGAAAGAGTAAAAGTTGTTATATCTGTTGGTATCAATAATATACCATATACGGATTCAGTGGCGGTCCTGTGAAGATGAAACAAAATTTATATTTTTGCCTGGATTGCGGAGGAATTTCATTGTGAAAAGGTTGCAGAATCCCCAATTCATCACCAACAGCTCTTGTCTGTCCATCCTATACATTAATAAATTTTAAATTTCAACACTGACATCAAATACAATTTTAAATGTCTTCTGATCCCTCATATTGCATTGATAATCTTAATCTCTGTTCCAGAGCTAAATCTACGCTATCCAGGAAACAGAAGAGGATCCTAAAGGAAAACCAGGAGTATGTCCAGAATGTAGTCAAAGGGAAAAAGGTAGGAATGCTGGTCATATACCTCCTTTGTTGAAATAATCTATTCTATATTGGTTTTATATGGGTTTTATCTTCAAATAGTTTCAACTTCTTCAACATTTGAGGCTATTATTTAAACAATCAGCTTGAGTTAAGCTTGGTATCAGGGATGTAGAAAAATATATATATTTTTTTTTATTTCAAAGAAAAAACATGTTAAAGCAATCGCAAAAAGCAATTACAATACAGTTACATGTTAAACATACATTTTACAGTTTTACAATACAGAAAAATATTTTTAGCCTCAATTAAGTATTGCCTCATCTCATTATTTAAATTGGCCTCTCCTAATATGGAATCTGACCATGCCATTGGCTCACGTTATACAATTTGTTCACAATATTTTATAGCTTGAAATCCTACAGCAAATCTTCTAAGATGGTTTGTCAGTCAATACACATTAACTTTCAATGTGTTTCATTTCTCTAAAAATACAGTTACATGTCTCATATTCAAGTTCTGATGTTCAGTTTTCATTCTGTTGTTAAATATCTTATGCTACACATGTTAATACACCAAAATTGCACTTTTTATTTGTAGCATAACATTGATCAGAAATAAGACCTCATTATTATTATCTCGTTTCAAAATATAGTTTTTCTCTTACTTTCTTTCCGTAAAGAATGTAACTTATAAGTTATAATGTATCGCCCAAATAGCACTTTTCTGATTGGACTGAAGCATCCGCAACGAATTGTCACTCTGGAACGAATTGTCACTCTGTAATGAATTGTCACTCTGTAACGAATTGTCACACTGTAACAAATTGTCACACTGTAACGAATTGTCACTCTGTAACGAATTGTCACTCTGTAACGATTGTCACACTGTAACCATTTTCAGTTGGTGACCTTTTATCACATTGATGTTAATGCCTTGTGAGCATCTGTAACAAATTGTCACACTGTAACCACTTTCAGTTGGTGACCTATTATCACATTCAGGGGCGTAGCCACATATACGCAGAATACGCATCCGCGTACTACTGAGAGTCAAAAACCAAAAGTGTAAATTGAAATAAATCATATATTTAATTCAATAGTGTTGTTATAGTGTTATGTTTTTAATTGTCAAACAAGTGATCAGAGTTTATTACCGTTTATTATCGTAGAATAGCACCTAGAATCGCTCAGAACGCCCAAAAATAAGCCCAAAAATCCAAATTTTTCGGGGGGCATGGCCCCGGACCCCCCTAGTTTGGCTCGGCCACCGGCCTCGCGTACCTACGCCACTAATCCTGGCTACGCCCCTGACATTAATGTTAATGCCTTGTGATATGGTGACCTTTTATCACATTAATGTTAATGCCTTGTGATATGTGAATTCATACCGTATATTCTTTCATGTTTTCCAGCAATCCCTCTATCAGCAATATCTCCAGCAGAGTGTGGCTGAGCATGATCTCTAACCTAACAGTGCTATAAATGAATGGATCCTCAATCCTCTACAGTGCTATAAATAAATGGAACCTCAATCTGCTATTGGGCTTTAATGAAATGACAGATCACATTACACAGGGGTTTCATTTGCATTTGACAACAGGTTCTTCATCTCTGGATATTGTTACCAAAATCAGCCTTTTTAAGGAATTTCAGTGTAATATTATACAATTATGGTGCCTGTTTTCTTGATTTGCCTGTTGTCTGAAATTCTAATGAAACCCCTTTTACCAAGATATATAATATTCAAGATATGGTTCATGGCCTATACTTACCTGAACTGTATAAGTGCATAATTGAAAGACACTTATGATCTCCTAGGCATAGTTAGAAATACTCTCCAGAAGGATTAAGGAAATCCATAGGTGGGCTAATATGATGAAGTCCATGTTTTAAAAAACATATTGTAATGCATGCTTGTGTCCTGGTATCACCATTTACATTTTTCTTTTTTTTAGAAATTCATGAAACGGTATGAAATTCAGTTACAGCTTATTAAATCAGAAACATTATAGAATCAAATAATATTTGAAATAATGAAATTTTAAATTTGCATATTTTACCCTGGACTTGCAATTTTACTTGAAAATATGTCAAATTTGTTTTATATTTAAATAAATAAGATGAATCAAATTAGGCGATACATTACATAATCAAACACTGAAAGCTAATAAAATAAATACCTGTTTTGAAAATTGGAAATCTTTTTGCTAGAAGTGTTCTACTGTTAATCAATTTTAAATTATTTCTAGGACAACTGAACCCATATTTTATAAATCCCAGATTGTTTTGGTGAAAGTTTTAGAGGTTGAGGGTAGAGAGTGCATATAAGTATTTATAGAATTGTAACCAAAGAGATTGCAATGAAAAGGCAGCATTTGTACAAAGATTGAAAAACATTGTATGTTTTAAAACTCCTAGTGTTAATCACTATGTAAAATGTACAATTATTTTCATATGTAATAATAAAATTGCTATATAATATTAATGTTGAGAAATCAACTATTGACTTTTTTTGTTGAACAAACAACCATCGAATGTTTGTGTGTTGAAGGAACAACCATTGAATGTATTTTTGTCAAACAAACAACAATTAAATGTTGTATGTTGAATAAACAATCATTGAATGTATTTTTGTCAAACAATCAACCATTGAATGTTGTGTGTTGAACAATCAACCATTGAATGCTCTGTGTTGAATAAACAATCATTGAATGTTTTTGTGTTGAATGCACAACTATTGAATGTATTTATGTCAAACAATCATCCATTGAATGTTGTGTGTTGAACAATCAACCATTGAATGTTGTGTGTTGAACAATCAACCATTGAATGTGTGTGTTGAACAAACAACCATTGGATGTTTTTGTGTTTAACAATCAACCATTGGATGTGTTTGTCCAACAAACAATCATTGGATGTTTTTGTGTTGAACAATTAACTATTGAATGTTGTGTTGAACAAACAACCATTGAAAGTATGTTTGGTTAACAAACAACCATTGAATGTTTGTATGTTGAAAATATAACTATGTAACATGTTGAACAAACAACTTTTAACAGTGCTGAACAAATAGGCATGTCGTATCTGTGTTGAACAAGCAAGCAACTAATGATAGTGTGATTGACAACCAAGCATGGTTTATTTTAACTTTAAGGCAGCTAGATTGGTTTCAAATAAACAATGCAAATAAAATGGAATAGCCTAATATTTTAATTGAATGGTTCTGTTCATTGCTTAAAGAAAGGGTCCTAGTTTATTTACCTAAGTAATCAGTACAGTACTTCAGGTAATTTTGAATGATACTGATTTCATGAGTTTATGAAAATTCACATTATCACCCTGCCCCTTCCTCCATGATTAACCTAGAATTTGGGAACATCAAGAATCAAAAACACAAAATGTGAAAATAAAAAAGTGTGAAAATTACCAGGAGTGTGTACAGTACTCTAGACATCATCATTTTTTTGGTCGATTCAGAATGTGGTATTTTTGCCCCATAAGGTGTATGGGATGTAATGTTTTGACCACTATTACCTTCTGTAATTGCCACAATGATTCTTGCTATTTAATGATTCATTCACTTGTAAATTGTCCTCTTGTAGTCTTGATCCAGTCTTCTATTATTATTAGCTCACACGGGTGAGACGAAGATAAATGGTTTAATAATGCCACCATCAAGAACTAGTGGCACGTTGTTATAGCCAGCAAATAATCAACATCTGTAATTTGTAATTTTTATGTCACCACCACTACAAGTGGTGACATATTGTAATAGTCACCAACTTTTTTATCGATGCCAATTGACATTCTGTGGTAGGTCGGCGTTCGGTGTCTGTAACAAATGGCAGGTAGTAACATTTCGCATGTAAATGCCCTGTTATACTTCATCAGGTGGTGACATTGTTGAGATTGTTCAAGACTGAGTAACAGTATCTAGTAAAATGAAATTGATTTATTTTCAAGAGATGAGTACATGTGAATACTGTCTATGTCATATATCACACACTTCTAGTAAACATTTGGGCAGAACCAGTTGTCGGCACATTTTGGGTGATAGAAAATATTTCATTTTTTGCTCAAAAAGGATAATAAAGATGTGTTTTAAGTTTGCAGAAAGGGGTACTGTGTTTAGATTTGTGAACAATGAAATTCAATTAAATGCTTTGACTATGACTGAATATATATCAAATCAATTAAATGCTTTGACTGTGAGTGAATATATATAAAATCAATTAAATGCTTTAGACTGTGACTGAATATATATCAAATCAATTAAATGCTTTGACTGTGAGTGAATATATATAAAATCAATTAAATGATTTGACTGTAACTGGATATATATAAAATCAATTAAATGCTTTGACTGTGACTGAATATATATAAAATCAATTAAATGATTTGACTGTGACTGGAAATGTATAAAATCAATTAAATGCTTTAGACTGTGACTGAATATATATCAAATCAATTAAATGCTTTGACTGTGAGTGAATATATATAAAATCAATTAAATGATTTGACTGTGACTGGATATGTATAAAATCAATTAAATGCTTTAGACTGTGACTGAATATATATAAAATCAATTAAATGATTTGACTGTGACTGGATATGTATAAAATCAATTAAATGCTTTAGACTGTGACTGGATATATATAAAATCAATTAAATGCTTTAAACTGTGACTGAATATATATAAAATCATTTAAATGCTTTGTCTGTGACTGGATATATATAAAATCAATTAAATGCTTTAAACTGTGACTGAATATATATAAAATCAATTAAATGATTTGACTGTGACTGGATATGTATAAAATCAATTAAATGCTTTAGACTGTGACTGGATATGTATAAAATCAATTAAATGCTTTAGATTGTGACTGGATATATATAAAATCAATTAAATGCTTTAGACTGTGACTGGATATGTATAAAATCAATTAAATGCTTTAAACTGTGACTGAATATATATAAAATCATTTAAATGCTTTGTCTGTGACTGGATATATATAAAATCAATTAAATGCTTTTAACTGTGACTGAATATATATAAAATCAATTAAGTGCTTTAAACTGTGACTAAATATATATAAAATCAATTAAATGCTTTGACTGTGACTGAATATATATAAAATCATTTTAGTCACCATGTTCTGCGTTCAATACCCGTTACACTTTTTTTGAAATTGCAAACATCAAGTTGGTTACATTCTGTTTTAGAAATGTATTTTTATTAATGTTAACTCTATCAAATTATATCTACTTTGATGGAGACCCAGTACACTGGGGATCAACTGGAAACGAAGACATCCAGTGTAAGAATTTGGTAAGATTGTTTGTTTCCTTGATTTTGTCACCTCTATCCATCAAATTTTAACTTTATGTTTGGCCTGCATGTAGTGCATAGGTTCTAGTTTTGAAATATGATTACATCTCGGAAATAGATGAAGTAATTACGATATTTACAAATTAGTTCCCTCGCATAGGAAACGAAGACAGCTTTTCGTTTAAAGCAATGATGCGAATACATTTTTATTTGCAACGAACGTAGTAATATGGAGGGGCACATTTGCAATTGGAATCATATTGTAGATGTCTCTGAGTGGTGAAACTCTTTGTTTCCCCTTTCGTTTCATGCTTTACAAACATATGTACTTTCTTCGTTTCTCTGAGAAAAAGGCTTCGTTTCCTTACGCAAAAGAATCGTTTTGTAATAATCCAAACAAATAATGGATATATGCAACATTTGTAAAGAATAACCTTATTTTGAAACCTGAATTTCAAGGATAAAGGTGATAAAGTCGAGAAAACAAAAATTATTATCAACCGGCTGTGCTGAAACGAAGACATCGTGTCTTGTCTCCAGTTGATCCCTGGTGCAGCACCTAATATAGATTAATGTTTCTAGGCACCTTCAAAAATTATCTTTAGAATTCAAACCAAATAAGATGTCGGGCGTTGAAGATAAACTCATTCCATAGTCTGCAGTCATTAATTTTAATAAAAACAGGTATTCTTTTTAATAGGAGTAAAGTGCGTTCAGTTTCTTCATGTTAAGTAAATATAATCTAAATTTCTAGTTTTTGTTTTTTAAAAGAGAGATACCAGTGGTTTCAGTAACTTTGTGTACAAGGGGCAGATGAAAAATACAAGAGGCGGCATTCAAAATAACCAATTTTACGCTCCCGACAATGCAAATTCTTGTTATTTTAGAGTCCATGGACTGAAAGAAAGATGTCCAAGGTTTGTCAAAGTCATTTCCACGTGTGACGTGGCAAGACATGGGCTCCACAAAATAACACCTGGAACTGTGGAATGACTAGGGCAACTTATATAGAATGTCATTTACCTTTTATAAGATAACTTACCCTTACACAGGTTGCATTTCACAAATCCAAATGCACCCGTTGAATTGAACACTTTTAATAGAAATCAAAATCTAGAATTGTCATTATTAAAATGAGAGTGATGTATTAATAGATGATTCACTTGTGATTATGTGTATATCAGATTCATTTTAGTTTTTACCGCCTCCAGACATTGCCAGAAATGGTGACATACAGGGTGTTCCAAAAGTAACAGGACTGGTGCCGGTATTTTGTTAAATATGCACCAATTGTCTTCAAAATTTTACATAATGTACCTTCATGTTTTGTCACTAAAATTGCCGAATTAGATAATTATTGTCGAAATTGATTTAGAAATCGGCCGATGACTAATCGGCGCATATGTGGCCAAGGCATTAGAGAGAGACCGAGGTGGGAGATATCCCCCTCCCCTCTACACCAAACTTGTTCTCACTACGTTTTCGAAATTTGCCTGAAAGGCCTCCTCACACATTATTAAGGAAAACATATCTACACATTTTGCGCATTTAACCA